GGGACTCTAGGCCTTTATAAATCAAGAAGGAAAATGTTTATGTCCACACTTCTGTGCTATCAGGAGTTGAGTGGGAGAATTTGGCTGCTTTGCTATTCCTTTCTCAGCCTTAGTTTCGGGCCCTAAAGGACTGGGTGATGTTGTGCAGCTCCCAAAGGTTCAAAAGCCCATTGTGTCGCACAAAGACTACAGTTTCTCATGACCTGTCTCCCCAACCCCAGTTGAGTGGCTTCATTGTTGGCTAAGTTTTGGAAAATCTTTCCCTAAGTTATTTAGGTAGGAGTGAATTCTTTCTGACGTACCTAAATGGCTGTCCAGTCTCTTCTTAAAAAACCTCCAGTGTTGGAGCATTCACCGCTTCTGGAGGCAGGTTGTTCCACTGGTTAATTGTTCTAACTGTCAGGAAGTTGGCTGAGGAATTCTGGGAGTTGAAGTCCACAAATCTTAAAGTTGCCAAGTTTGAAGACTCCTGCTGTATATACTCTCTTTTCCTTTCCCCTCCTGACTGGAATCCTGTGAGCTTTTTCAAGGATTTATAGTTTACTGTTGAGGTTAACACCGAGTCCCATAAATTAAAATGATGCCCGAGAAAAAGAAAGGAAACATGATTTAGACATGAGTCACAAGGGCAGGAAACCCATTGTCGTAGCCCTCACAACAACCCCAAATTTCCATTGCTAAGCAAGACAGTTTACAGCCTTTCCTGCCCCAGTTGTGAAGTGAACCACTGTGGGTTTTAAGTGAGTAACACAGTTGTTAAGTCAATCTGGCTTCCCCCTTGAAGATTGCAAGAGTTGATCACGTGATCAAAGCACGCTGCAACCGTCATAAATAAGAGTCAGTCGCCCAGTGTCTGAATTTTGATCACGTGACCATGGGCAATGCTGCGACGGTCGTAAGTGTGAAAAAACGGGTCACAAGTTGCTTTTTCCAGGACCGTTGTAACTTCGAACGCTCCCTAAACAAATGGTTGTATGTTGACTACCTAAAGAATTAGAAGGTCCTTTCTCGCTGGTGAGATTTAAAAAAAATTCTAACCGGACACAAATTCCCAGCTGAATTAGAGTTTGATCAAAGATAGCCATTTGAGAGAAACATCCCATGTGTTTACATTCCCTGGTTATTTGTTGCAACTAAGTGGAATCCTGACTGTGGCAGCCATTTTCTTGGTACCCAACTGTCAGCTGTTTACTCAGTGGCAGTGATGGTTCTAAGGAAGGGAAGCTCAGACCGGACTATGAGTTAACTATCGTCATTTCTACTCCCTCTTTGTACCTTCTGCTCCTCCAGAGAGAAAGTCAGACTTGAGTGTCAGTTAACTATCCTCATTTCTACTCCCTCTTTATACCACCACCACCACCACCACCTCCTCTTCCAAGCTCAGACTTGACTGTGACTTAACTATCCTAATTTCTACTCCCTCTTTATATCTCCTCCTCCTCTTCCTCCTCCCCCCAAGGAAAGCTCAGACCTGACTGTGAGTTAACTATCCTCATTTATACTCTCTTTACTCCTCCTCCTCCTTCTCCCCCCCCCAAGGGAAGCTCAGACCTGACTTTGAGATAACTATCCTCATTTCTACTCTCTCTCTTTCTTCTTCTTCTTCTTCTTCTTCTTCTTCTTCTTCTTCTTCTTCTTCTTCTTCTTCTTCTTCTTCTTCTTCTTCTTCTTCTTCTTCTTCTTCTTCTTCTT